CCAAATATGAACTCTTTTCATCTTCCTGTAAATTGTCTTCTCCCCCTTTGAAGTCTCAGACCTCTATCTCCCTCTCCTTAGCCCAGAAGGACATATGCACCTCATTTTACCTGACTGTCTTTCGAATTCTTCATGCTTATGTAAATTCCTCATCTACATGTATTAAATTTTAATTTTTCTCCTGCTAACCTGCCTTATCATTTTTAATTCACCCATAAGAACCAGAAGAGAAAAGGGCGGGGCAATTCTCTCTCTTCCCCTACGGTTTTGGCACATCTGGCAGGAACTCCCCTGGCTGACGACTGCCCTCTCTGCTGGGAGGACTGCTTTCTCCCTAGGACGATGGTAGATGAGGAGACTCTGCATTGCCTGATACAGGCTGGTAAGAGGTAAGATTTCTGACCACGTCAGCCTCCTGGAATCTCTATGTGTGGGGTCTGATGGAAGCAAGTGATGAGAATTTTCTTCTCTCCTCCTAAGTTTAAATTGGCAGGAGAAAGTATTTGGGAAGCTAATTTCTTGGGTTTCTTAGTGATTCTGGTAAATTTGGTGGAGTACACTTGGCTTTGTTGATCCTTTTCCTCCGAGAGATGGTCACTGTTTTTTCTTTTTCGGCCCTGTTTTTTTGTGTTGTATGTCATAAGAAAGAAATACCATAAGGTACTATATGCAGGCATAGGCCTTATAAGCCTATTGTCTGGGCCAGCCCCACAGGTTGGTGAGCTTGTGGTCTCAGCAGACTGGCATCTATTGAGACAAACTTTGCTGTGAGTTCATATGCACATGAAGTGAAAGCTCTTGTGAAGGGATACCATGGAGGCCAAAAGGCCACAATAGGGGTGGGCGCAAGCTGAGCAGTTAAGAGCCTTTGGGCACTCACTGCCTCAAGAACATTCCAGTGATAGGATGATTTAGTCATGGAATGGGGTAGATGACAACAGGTCTCTCGCCAACCTCAAGAAAATTTCCCTGAAATGAAGTACTCTGTAAAACACACACAATCTTCAACTCCTTGGAACATCCCTCCTAGGTGTTAGTTTACTCCAAGAAACCCAAGGCATCACCAGGGTAGTTGCTATGCATATAAGAAAAGAAAAAGCAGAGGAGGCTTTTCCTTCCATCTTGTTCTATGTCCTGAGAACTTGGCTTTTTGACTAGTGAGAAGATTCCCCTTTGTCTCCACCATCTGGAAGGTACATTTTCTGGGGTTACCTTGGCGGCCAGTCAAAGAGACTTGGGTTCTGAGCACTCTCTGTCTGGCTTTGCCAAGCTCTCGGGGGAGTTTTTCATAAAGGGTCCAGTCTTAAAGGCCTTTGTTGTCTCAACCTTGCTTGCTTGTAAGTTCTGGAAAATTCCCATTCCAGTAGTGCCTTCCCAGTGTCACAGATGAGCAGATCTGTGACTGGAGGTATTCCCTGCTCTTCTGGGAGACTGGAGACACCGTTTTCACTATACCACTCTTACCACCTGTGAAACAAAGGTCTTTACTCTCTCTGACTATTTTGGGGAGTGAACATTTTGGATCATGAGGGCCACATCATCCGTGCCCTCCCCAGGGATGCCTCCTGCATCCATGGTAAAGATTTGTTCCCAGCCTGGAAAGTTACCTCCAGGTCTTTCCTTAAAAAGGCTCATTGGATTGAGTCACTATTGGAATAAGTGTACAAATGGAGACGCTCCTCATCAATGGCCAGATGATGGACTTTTTGAATTGGAGAAACTTCTGTATTTGAGAACCATTTCAGAGCGCTCTCATCACAAGCAGCTGCCTTATTGGTATTTATGGGAAGATAAAACTGAAAAGAAACCCCCCCAAAATATAATGTCTACCCTTAGGGAATCTCTTAATAAAGTGAAAGAACAGAAGTCAGACTTAGGACAAAGAATAAGAAGCAAATTTAGTGAAAATTTCCCTTCTCCTCCCTCCTATGCTCCCCTATATCCCCAGCTCCTTGTCCCTGACTCCCCCAAAGATCTCTTGGATCTCAGGGTTGCTGGTTTCCATTCTCCCCCTCAAGACTTAGCTCCTCAACCAGTTCATTCTGCACCCAATTTTTAAACCTGCCTTTATCCCTGACTCACATTGTTAACTCTCAGGCAAATGCCCCACTATCTGAAAAAGACAATTGGATACAAGAAGGTGCCAAACAAGGATCAGATGGATTACACACTGGGCCAAAGGGCTTACCGTAGCTTCTTCTCCTTAGACTTTTTGGCTTGTACTTATGTCCCTCCAAATGGGACATATGTGCAGATGGAGGATGGTTAAGGAACTAAAAGACAACCAGGGGGCCAGCACCGTGGCTGAGTGGTTAAGTTTGCGTGCTCTGCTTCAGCAGCCTGGGGTTTTGCCAGTTCAGATCCTGGGTGAGGACCAAGCACTGCTCACCAAGCCGTGCTGAGGCAGTGTCCCACATAGCAGACCTAAGAGGACCTAAAACTAGAATATACAACTATGTACTGGGGGGCTTTGGTGAGAAGAAGAAAAAAAATTAAGATTGGCAACAGATGTTAGCTCAGGTGCCAGTCTTTAAATAAATAAATAAAAGACAATTGGTATTGCCTGGCATCCACAAAATCTCTGACCCAATTGTTTCCCAGTGCACCACTTGCCAACCTCACCAAGTTTCTGGAGAAATCCGTGTACCCCAGGAAGTCCTCCCAGGTCCGCACTGTCCTGTGCGGCGCTACAAATGGGCTTTACAGCCTTGCCCCAGCTTTAGGCTGTTCTCACTGTTTGGTCATCATCTGCGTGGTTAGTGGATGCGCTGAGCGCTATCCGACTAGACGTGCAGAGGCCACAACAGTGGGACGGAAATTAACAAGTGCAGTTGTCCCTTGTTCTGGCTTCCTTTACGGATTGAAGCAGAGCGAGGAGCTCACTGTGCAGCAGAGGCAACCACTTGCTTGAAGAAACTCTGGGGCACTCATTAAAATTTCACACCCCATGTCACCCTCAATCATCAGGGCAAGTGGAATGTAAAGCTCTAGACACGAAAGGGACTTCAGGAAGGTCTGTCAAGAAACTGGACTTAAATGGCCAGAAGCTCTGCCCTTGTCCCTTAGAAAGATCTGGAATACTCCAAATAGGAGACATGGATTGACAGCTTTTGAAATAGTGTTTAGATGCTTGATGCCTGCTGCCATCTCTAAATCTTCTATCCTTGGATTAAGTGAATATTATGGGAGCTTAAGTGAACAAGTTGATGCTATGACTAGCTATAGACAGAAACTAACTATTATTCTTGAAGCATATGGTCAACAGATAAAAGAGGCATGGTCCCCACCTGCTGACAGCCTTACCTTCTCTTCGGACCAGGAGATCAGGTGTACATCAAGGTCTTTAGAAGAAAAAATGCATTTTCACCTTTCTGGGAGTGACCTAATGACCACCTACACTACCATAAAAATATAGGAAAAATCTTCCTGGATCCATGCAAGCCACAACAAAATAGACCCAGAACATCGCTCTCAGGACAGCTGGGAGTAGTCCCCACAGGTGACCTTAAACTAAGGCTCTCCAGGGCCAATTCCAAGTTCCAGAAGCAGCTGGCCTCATGGAGTAGACAGCTTTTCCTAAGATCATGGATCAAGAAATCTTGTTTTCACCTATTTTCCTCATTGCTTTTAAAACTCCCTGCACACACACACACACACACACAAACAGCAACAACAACCCTTTTCCTATTAATGCATATATATATATTACTTTTAATCATTTATTAGAAAGCCGACTGGAGAGCTCTGGTCTCTATCTGTCCACTCCCCCTCTCTAAGTTTCCACTCTGGGCTCTTTCCCAATCTGTGTCTCCCTCTTACTAACTCTCTCTTTCTCACCAGGTAGAGCACAGACCAAACACCCCCTAATGCCAGTTTACCAAACCCTGGCCACGCTAACTAATCTGACTGTTGTTTATGTCAACAGCTAGAGAGCACAGAAGGACCTGAACTGGTCTCTGTTCCTGCTGATGTGAACACCTGGTGGACTAAGCATGGAAGATGGATGAATGACAGGGTATGGTGTCCACGACAAGGAAGACATCGCTCTGCCTCTTCTCCTGGTGAGTCACTAGGCCCCAGAAAACCTCTAGAGAAGCGCCAGGACTGTCCCTTGCCCAGATAAAGACAATAGGTGAAAATTGTTCCCTAGAAAAAGTAAACATGACGCTGGACAGATTTCTTACCACTTAGCTACTATCTCATTTTCTCTCTCCACAGTCACCAGCTCAGCTTTCAATATGTGAAATTTCTAGGGAGGTTTCACATTCGGGAACAGATGGGTTTATGGCAGGCCACCCCAAGATGTGCCACTCTGCTATGCAGATTATTTTGAGCTGAAGACAATCAAGGCTCAGAAGACCCTGGAAGAACATTTGACCTTCCCCCAAATTGCCTAAAAGAATTTAAGTTAGAAGGGCCTGTCCCTGGAAGGAACTCTTACCATAGATAATTCTAGGAGTGGTAGGTGGGAAGGCATCTAATAAGGACCATTTTATCAAAAGACTTCTTTTGGGTCCTATTGTCTGTAGATGGGACAATGCAAACATTTGTTCACCCAATATGAACTCTGCTCACCTTCCTGTACATTTCCTTCTCCCCCTTTGAAGTCTCAGACCTCTATCTCCCTCTCCTTAGTCCAGAAGGACGTATATACCTCATTTTGCCTGACTTTGGAATTCTTCATGCTTATGTGAATTCCTGTGTACATGTATTAACTTTGATTTTCTCCTGCAAACCGGCCTTATGCCATCTTTAATTCTTTGAGCAGCCATAGAACCAGCAGGGAAAAGGGGGGGGGGGGCTTCCTCCCTGTCCTCCTGCAACTTGAATTTGTAAAAAACAACATCTGCAAAGCGCAATAAAATGAGCTATGCTTATAATACATTTTGTGACTTTGTTAGATTAACATTTGTTGAGTAGAGCCCTGGGGGTGTAGGATGGTGAGCCTGGGTTCAACAACAGACCACAAAGAAATGGAAATAGAGAAGGTTGTTACTCACAAGTCCTGGAGAAGTTCCACATCACACCTTGAGGGGCCACACCAGAAGGTTAAGGCAGAGGACAGAACAGGACCTGGGGCATATGCCTCTATTGGGGTCCGCAGGCAGAGTGCTTTGGGGTTCCTGGGCTAAGTCTGGATTGGTCAATTCAAACCAAATGAGGTTTTAGTAAGTTTCCCGGAGTTCTTATCTAAGGGACACACAGGGGGAAGGCCCTGGGAGGTGGGGATGATGCCTCTTACAAGGGCAGTTTCGAGAGTCATATCAAGAACTGACATGTACTTGTGACTCTGCCGGTGGTTATCTAGGGCGCACACTCTGGGGAGGGGCTAGTGTCACTTCAAGGCCCCTGCAGGCCGCTTGTCCACATGAAATGGGTGCCAAGGCAGCAACGCTATGAAGTAGTTTAGCTAACTCCCAACAAACTCTTAAAAGAAAACATAGGAATTAAATCCTCATGACCATGGATTAGGCAATGCTTACTTTATTTTATTTCTTATTTTTATTCAGGTAACATTGCTTTATAACATTGTATAGGTTTCAGGTGTACAACATTATAATTCGACATCTTCTGCACATACTACAGCATGCTCACCACCAAAAGTGTAGTTTCCATCCATCACCATATAATTGACCCTCTTTACCCATTTCACCCTCCCCAATGGTTTCTTAAATATGACACCAAAAGTTCAAGCCCCACAAGTAAAATATAGATAAAATGGACTTCATCATAGTTAAAAACTTGTGTGCTTCAAAGGATTCCATCAAAAAAGCGAAAAGAGAATAATCCACAGAATGGCAGAAAATATTTGCAAATCATATATCTGATAAGGGGATTTTGTCCAGAATATATAAAGAACTCCTACAACTCAACAATAAAAATATAAATAGCCCAATTTAAAAGTGGGCAAAGGATCTGAATAGACATTTCTCCAAAGAAGATATTCTTGACATCATTGGTCATTAGGGAAACGCAAAACAAAACCACAGTGTGATGCTCCCCCTAGGATGGCTACTGTCAAAAAGTCAGAGAAGAACAAGGGTCGAAGGTGATGGGGAGTTTTTGGAACTCTCACACGCACTGCTGGTGAGAATGTAAGATGGTGCAGCTGTTTTGGAAAACCATTGGGCAGTTCCTTAAAGTGCCAAACATGAAGTTACTGTATCATCCAGCCGCTCGGCCCCTGGGTATGTACTCAAGATGTGAAAACATGTGTCCACACAGAAACTTGTACATGAATATTCATAGCAGCATTACTCATAATATCCCAAAGGTAGAAGCAATCCAAACATCCACCAACTCATGATAGATAAATAAAATGTGAGATATCCATGCAATGGGATATTATTTGTCCATAAGAATGAATAAAATGGTGATACAACATGGATGAATCTCGAGAACACTATGCTAAGTGAATGAAGCCAGTTATGAAAGACTACATATTATCTCATTTCATTGATATAAAATGTCCAGAATAGTCAAATCCATAGAGACAGAGAGTAGATTAATGGTTGCAAGGAGATAGGAGAGAGGGAAATGGGAAGTGACTGTTAATAGGTACAGAGTTTCTTTTGGGGGTGATGAAACCTGCATCTCACCACAGTGACCAACTTTTGCCTCTGTGGGGACCTGGAATTGGCCACCCCAAGATATGTCTCTTTGGCATCAGGGTTATTTGAGGCTGATTGCTTTTGATAAACTGGGACAGGGAAGGAGGCTCTGAGGAATGGAACTTGCCCTTCCTTAGGACACATTTATCTCTATCTGTAAAAGCTGCCTCCCTCTCTGTACCAGGAAGAAGAAAGGAGATGACCTTCTCTCTAAAAACTCTTAATCAATACCAAAGGCAAGGACATAAAATCTGCATTTTATTGTGCTAGTCTGGTAACCTCCTGTAACTGACTTCCCTCCCCCTCCCAACGTTGGCATTCCTTAAGGATTAAGCACCTTTCCTTAGGCTAGGAACCGATTGCTGCTGCGCTCACCTGTGACCGCCCAGCTCCAGACATACACTTGCCTCCAGCTACGCCCACCGAGAGAGCAGACCCACTACCTGCTGTGTCCATCAAGCACTGTGCCGACAGGGCAATCTTGTGACTATTGTGGGAGGGACATTTCAATCACATGTGAAACACCCTGTTTGGGGGTATATAACCACTATGTGCACCCCACTTCTTCGGTGCCCTTTCTTCCTTTGGGAAGAAAGGCCCCGGGCCATGGTTCCTCATAAAGCTTTGTTTAATTTTCTCTTGCTATTCTGTCTCATGTGAATTTAATTCGTTCTCCAGCCAGACAAACCCCCATTTGGGGAGAGAAAATGTCTTACTCCCCTACACCTCCCTCTAGCTAACCTTAGCAATCAGCTCTTTTTAGCCAAGATTAATTTTCTGCTCCCAACCCCAATTAACATTCTTTATAATGTGTACCTCCCTTCTGTGCCTTCAAAAGCCCCTGATGTTTACTCCCTAGTGGGACACTGGTTTCTACCTGAATCTGTGCTCCCTAAATTGAAATTCTGTGATCCCCAAATAAACACCTCTCTGCCTCCCATTTTGGCTCTTTATGTTTAGGTTAACATACATGGTGTCAGAATGAGCGACCTGAAGGGATCTCACCTTCATGGACCACCCTCCCCTGGAATGTGATATGGTACCTATGATACTGAACCTCTTAATCTCATGTTCATGGGCCTGATGCGCAATAAGCCAGTCGCTGAGCCCTCAGTGCTTGGAGGTGGAGAAAGATTTGTTTAAATTGATCAGAAGGAGAAGGTGGGAGGATAGGTTCTTTCAAAGCTGCTTTACAAAATAAGAAACAGAGTGTTTTATAGAGCTAAGGGGCTTGGGAGGAGGAGGAGTTTCAGAGAAACAAAGGGGAAAAGTGTGTTTCTTTCACTCCAAGTCAGCCCTTGAGCAATCTGCCTTCTAGGCATCAACTGCAGTATCTGGTGATTGTAACTTCCTAGAAGGCCTTTTTCTTCTCAACACAAACTCATAAATCCTTGTGACCCTTGAGTCACCCCTCAGATTAAACAAGAAAACAGCAAACAAAAAAGGTTAACTTCTTTTCATTTGTGTCTGTGTTAGGAACAAGGTTGAAGTTAGTCACATTCTCATTGAATATTCACGGTAACCCTCAGGTACCCGGCTTCACCAACACGAGCCACCTGGGGCTCACTGTTTCCATGGATCACCAACTCTTCTGATTGTGGGTCCTCTCAGATTCTGACCTCCCTCCTCCCTCAGTGTCTTTTTCTGGGGCTGGGGGTGAACACCCAGGAGATGGTTGTCTCAGTCCGGTATAGTGGCCACTGCCGCAGGAGGGGGTTCCCTCAGCAGGGTTTTTTCTCTGGTTGATGAGGAGTTTTAGGCTGCTTAATTTTAAAATGGCTTATGATGAGGATTTTTAGGCTGGTTAGTTTTAAAACTACAGATGAGATTCAGGCTCCAAGGAGTGGAATTTGTTTGCCCCTTTGTTGGGAAACATTTACATTTCTAAGGGAAACCTCTATCTGTGAAGATGCCTCCCTCTCTGTGCCAGGAAGGGGGGGGGGATGGTCTTATCTCTAGAGGCTCTTGGTCAATGCCAGAGGCAAGAACTTAAGTTGGTTACTGTCTGGCAACCTCATGTAACTGACCCTCCCCCCCCACAGATCCTCCTTTGTCTTTAGCCAAGGATAAAATTCAAGCGGTGACTTCTGCCATTTACTCAATCCGGTTTGATTCTTATCTACCATTTTAACTTTTTTACATATTCTTTGTCTTGTAAAGAGATAACTCACATACCTATGCCTTAAATTTAGCCCTAACCCTCAACTTGGCGCGGCAGCAGCAGGAGCTCTGACTGCCCGTGGGTCCTGTCCCCACGCACCAGCTCTGCCTGCCCATGGGTCCTGTCCCCATGCTATTCTACTCTCTAAATAAAAGAGCACTACTGCCAGATCTTGAGAGTCCAAGAAATCTTTCTTTCGACTCCTCGGCTCACCGACCCCGCATCATGGTCAGTGAGTACTCTTGCTAAATTGAGAAATTTCTCTATTGTCAACTCCACCTGCATCCTTCTCTTTCACATGGGACTTTCATTTTCTAAAGTTTCTCAAGAAGTTTCTCCCTCAGGAACTCCAGCTGGTTTGGTGTTTAAACTGACAAATAAAAATGGCAAGCAATAGGATATATTGGAGTATATGAGGAAGCCATTTGGTATAAACCTAATTCGGCCTGACTTTTTTTTTTCAAAAGGGCCTGACTGTGGCTATTGAGCACGCATTGCGTATCTGCTTAGACATTTCCTATGGCCAGAACAAAGGCCCTTGAGATAAAGGTGCAACTTCCCCCCACATTAGCATTTCCTTAGGGATAAGCATTTTTCCTTAGGCTAGGAACTGACTGCTGCACTCACCTTTGACCACCCAGCTCACCTGTGACCACTCAGCTGGAGACAATAGACTGCCCCACCCTGCTGCGTTCACCGAGACAGAAGACCTACCTGCTGTTTCCATCAATCGCTGTGCCGACAGAGCAGTCTTGTGACTATTGTGGGAGGGACATTTCAATCATATGTGAAACACCCTCTTTGAGGGTATATAACCACCCTTATACCCCCACTTCTTTGGAGTGCTCTGTTCCTTTGTGGAAAGACTCTCCCAGGTTATAATCCTAAAATTTAAGCTCAGAATAAACTCACCCAAATTTTCATTTATAGATTGGTTATGGATTATTTTCATCGACAAAACTAAGGTCCCTTCTCTTGTAAATTTCTATCTCAATGGATCAAAACTACTGAGGATGATTTAAAATCACAATGGCCAGTAGAGAGAACATTCTAATTAGATAAGACAATTGCAAGGTACAATTTAAAGCAAAGGCTTCAAAATCCTAACATAGCTTCATTGAAAGTTTTGTTGCAAAAGCTAACGAAAAATCTGTAAGAGGGACCTAAAAGACGAGACAACCATGTACAGAAGTCCATCAAGTTAGTGGCCTTACTGACACCCTCATATCCACTCTGGTAGGAGGGCCTAAATGGGCCCCTCCAGAGTTGACGGAGAATTTTCCTTGTAAGCTGCTTCATTATTCATTCCCTTAAACAGCCCAGGGGAAACTAAATATAGAATTAATGGAGTTGTTTAAAACTGACAGGAATACTTACTATTTGTCCCAGCTAAAAACTAAAA